AATCCCTTCGCTTCATATTTTACTTAGCAAATGAATCAATACGAGCGTCAGGAACGGTCGTCCATTTGTGGGCGGGCGGGCGTGGTGGGCGTTCGGGTCGGTATGTTGTGGCTTGATAGGGCCTTATAAGGGTACCTTCCTTGGAAAAGGCGCTACACAGCGCCTGCTCAAGGTCGCGGAATTCCGTCCTCCCAGGCGCATTAATCATACTCGTCTTCAGGGATTTATCGTGCCAATTGCCTCTAATAAGCATATTCGTATAAACAACTAAGCACATCTGTCCCGTTATTATGGGACTGGCATGAAGGTTACTGTTATTATGCGTTCATACTTTGAGGCAGCGTCCAGCGGCGACAACAGCGGCCACCAGCGCTCCGAGCGTCCGGCAGCGTCTGCGATAGAAAAGTATAGACATCGATCTAGTGTCTGCCAGCGTCCACCAGCGAGCAGCAGCCTCCCGGAATGGGGAGTATGGGGCGATAGGAGTGTAACAGCTGGTAGACGTTAGGTCGATACCTATCTAATCGCTGACAGACGCTAGATGTTGCCTAGTCACTGGTGATCGCTGCCGCAAAGTATGAACGCACCCTTATTTTTTGTCATTTTCTGTACAACGCTCACCATGTATTCCTCCTTCACTGCCTTCGTTCTTCCACAGACTACTTTCCCGTGGAGCTAACGGGAAGAACTATAGTAACATACCGTATTCACATATGTTTGTTTTATTTTCATGATTTTTTTTGCTTGTCACAATATTTCGCGAAGTGTGAAAGTACAGTGTGAAAAGAACGAGTGTCCAAGTGTCGCGAGGCCAAATACACTAGACTTCGCTCCAGGAAAACCCCAGACTATTTTTGCCGACTTATTGCTAACGCATAACGTATTTTTTATACATTTGAACTTTGTTTTTTCACATACAGGTTGATTTTCATCAAAAATTGTGTGCATGAATTTAGCTCGTTCTAGGTGGCCAGGCATGGAGCCGATGTCCTCAGTCAGTCACGAATGGTTGGCCATACCGTTCGGCAATGTTCATGTGTAGAGCAGCGTGAATGTATTGAGGAGATGAAAGCACAAACAAAAAGAGTGCTCCGTGCCGTGCTTCTCCGAATTTGGCACTGTAAGTTGATTTCATCTGTCCTTACAAGAGACCTGCCCGATAGCTCTTACCAGACAAGAACGGAGGTTCACATGATTTAGTAAAGGCCAATTTTTCCTTCTCTCTTGTACTACTGCTTGAAGTGGCACGCATGCGGTTGTGGTGCGACGCGTTGTACTTTTAGAAGCTGATCACCGAATCGTATCGATCTGTTGCTCGCTACCTTACTCAACCGCGCGCGTCCTTGACTGACCATCTCAGCGCCGCGAAAGGAAATATCATAGGGTTTTTCATCACACATATGTTAACTAAGTTGGGCATAGCCATGCGGCAAGTGAAACTGTCTTCTTATATATAAACCAGAAGTTGTCTGTGTGTGTGTGTGCGTCTGTCTGACCACCCAAAAACCGAAGACTACAGAAAACTGATTTTCCTGGACGGATTCCAACTGGGATTGCGACGATAGGATTAGCCAATTTTCAGGGAGCCTAAGCAAGGTAACCTAAGCGGTGTACAGCATAGAAAATTTTGATGACTGCCTTCTAGGGGGGGGGGGGGGGGGGGGGGGGTATATACGAGAAGTGAAACGGTAAAGTGCTGTAATTCTCAAAACTATTTTTTTCGACCATTCGCCCAGCGAAGCCGATCCGACTGGCTCTTTTCCCCGTCATGGGAAAATCTCACAGAGGACTCACTTTCACACTTGTACCGAAGTTGGGATGCGAGCATCAGGCAGATCCGACTATCTTTCATATGCGCGACTATGTGCGCTGCTGACCTGAGCTTTGGGCTAGTGAATTCGACGCTTCGACAGGGCAGTCTTCTTCTTTCTTCTTTCTTCAGCGTTTGTCCCGCTTGATGGCGGGGTCCGCTCTTTTGATATAACTACGCCATTTTTCCCGATTGAATGCCTGATCGGGGTGAATGCCGGCTAATTTTAAGTCGGTATGCAGTGTGTCGAGCCAGCGCTGTTTGGGACGCCCCTTTGGCCGCTTTCCTGGTACCTCGAGTTCGAGAGCAGTTTTACGGACGGTGTCAGCCTTCGCGCGAAGTCCGTCCAGCGCAGCATCTTCATTTCCATCACACCAAGGCGAGCCTCAACTTCTTTGGTCGCGGGCCAGCACTCGGCACCATATAACGCGACAGGTCGGACGACAGTACGATAGATTTTTGACTTGAGGCGCTCTGGCATTCTCTTGTCGCAAAGGATCCCAGACATGGATCGCCACTTAGACCATGTCGCACTCACTCGTGCACTCACTTCCGACGTTAGACTTGCATCGCGACGAAGTTGCTGATCGGATACTATGTTATTTCCGTGCGCTTGAGCACGTGGTCATCGATTTTAATGGCGTCATGGTTGGGTCGGTGGTCAGGTACTCGGTCTTGTTGACGTTCAACCTGAGTCCAAACCTCGCCAGACGCTCGGCCCAAGCTTGCACCTGCTGTTCCAGTGCGCTCTTATCTTCACAAGCAAGCATCACATCATCAGCGTAAAGCAGGGTCCAAGGCACTTCCTTCTGAAGATCTTGTGATATGGCATCCATGACGGCAACGAAAAGAAGTGGGGAGAGCGCAGAGCCTTGATGTACCCCGACGGTGATGGGGAACTCCATTGAAACCCCGCTGGTGAGCGAACTTGGCTCCCTGGGCATGAGTAAAGGATGCGCACCCACTCGATTAGCTCTTCGGGCACGCCATGCCGCCTCAAAGCGTACCATATAACGTCACGTGGCACACGATCGAAGGCCTTCTCCAGGTCTAGGAAGGCTACATGCACGGGCTTTCGCTTCTCACGGTGTTTCTCCAGCAATAGGCGAGCGGCATGTATGGCGTCGACGGTGCTACAACCCGCCACGAAGCCACACTGGTTGGTGGAAAGCTGGACGATATCACGAACACGGGCGTCAACAATTCGCTCGAAGATTTTCATAGTGTGCGAGAGAAGGCGAATTGGACGGTAGTTCGAGCAATCTGCCGGGTTGCCCTTCTTCTTCCAAATCGGGATCGTCACGCTCTGCTGCCAGTCCTTAGGCACCTTCTTCTCTTCGACGATCTGGTTGAAGAGTTTCGTCAACCAACCCGCAGGAAACCAGCGTTGTGACTTCCACAAATCAGCTGCGATGTCGTCGGGGCCTGTTGCTTTGCCGGCCTTCATCTTCCTCAGAGCAGCTTCGGTTTCCTGTACGGTAATCCTCTGAACGGGGCCATATGTTGGTGCGGTACAGGGTATAGCGGGATGGGCGAATTCCACGGTTGAGATGCCCTCGAAGTATTCACGCCATCGTTGCAATACCCTTCCTCGGTCCATCAGAAGTTGCCCATTCTCATCACTTATGCCAAAGAACTTCTCAATGTCTTCGGTTTGGCGATGACGAGACTTGGCAAGTCCGTACAGGTACCGCTCACCGTCGCGCGTCTCCAGCTTCTTGCTGATATCATCGAAGTGAGCGGCCTTCGCAGCAGCCACGGCCGTCTTTGCCACATTCCTCGCTTCCCGATACTGCCGCCAGTTGTCAGCCGACTTCTGCTCGAGAAACGCGTGATAGAGCCTCTTCTTTTCTCGAACCTTCGCTTTGACATCATCCGTCCAGAGCCACGCGTCTTTGTCAATCCTCCGCCGTCCAGGCTTCGTTGTGCCGAGTTCGGAGCGGGCGGCCTGGATTATAGAATTAACGGCTTCGTTCCAGGTCTCCTGAACAGTTGTGACTTCAGGTAGTCGAATACGAGAAATCACAGCTGCCTCCCGCTCTTTCAGTCGCCACCACTTTATTCTTTCAGGACCGCATCGTTCAGCTACCTGTCTCCGCCTGGGAGCTACAAGTCTGAGCGTGCAGATCAGTGGGCGGTGCTGCGTGGCAACCGTTTCATACGGTACTACCTTAGCGTCTGTCACGAGTCCTTGGTCGCCATGCCTGATGAGTACGAAGTCTATTTGTGTCTTGGTACTCCCGCTGTAGAACGTGATGAGATGGGAGTCACGTTTACGAAACTTGTGTTCAGAATGACGAGGTTATGCGACTCTGCATACTCAAGGACTCGCTCACCATCGGCGTTCCGTGAACCGTAGCCGAATCCGCCGCATAGCCGTCTTTTGCAGCGCCCACGTGCCCGTTTAAATCGCCGGCTACAATGATACCGTCTTTTGGTGGCACTTCAGCCGTCTTCTCGTCCAGCAGAGCCCAGAACTCGTCCTTGGACTGCTCAGAGCATCCAGTTTGTGGGGCATATGCGGAGAAGAAGTGGTACAGTCGTTGTTCAATAGCGACAACAATCTTCATCAAACGGTCGTCGAAACGAACTACGCTCATGATCGAATCGCGGAATCGCTGAGACACGATCACGGCCACACCACTTGTAGTTTTCGGCCCGCCACAAAGAACGGCTTTGAAGCCGCGACCTAACTCTTTCGACTTGCAACCAGCCCATCTCGTCTCTTGCACGGCACAGAGGTCGATCTTTCTACGCTCTAGGGCTTCTGCTAACTCGTACGAGCGTCCAGTCAGCGTCCCCACGTTCAGCGTCGCAATACGAGCCTTTGACACACTGCACGTCTTTTGGACTAGCCTGGTTGCCCCCGATGCCGTCCTTGCATCGAGGACCCTCGCATATTTTTCACACTCGTCGGGCCTTGCGAGTGCGCGTCGGCTCCCGCGGACGCCGTAGCATTATCTCGAATTTCATAAGGCATAGTTAAACATGATGATGTGACATGGGGTGTTCGTAAGCCGGCCCGTCACGAAGGCCTGTCGCCTGCTTTCGTGTTCGTCCGCGTTCTGCTCAGCCCGCAAAAGCGAGCAGGTCCCGGTGGCACCACTTGGAGGAACGGACGTCACCACCGACGCTTCGCAGCATAACCCCGCTAAACTAGGTCAGCACTTCAGCACATGGTTTTTATGCTATGAGAGTTTTTAAAGTAGTTCGGGGAGGGGAACATTCGGCCGCGCCTGTTTATGTCTCCCTAGTAGGCTCAGGCTCAGAGCGCTTCCAGTCAGAGTGGGATAGCCACGCCGGGCGGGAGGCATAGTTTCTATCAAGCCTAAGTTGATCAGGGGAAGGGATATCAAAACGCTAGCAAATCCTCCTCCCACGATTACGTCAGCGCCAAGATACCAAATTCAGTAGTTCATAAACCAGTTAGTGAACCTTATACTGTAGTAATATATCGGCTGCCTTTACGTATGTTCGTTATAGATCACAAATCGTCCACAAGAGCTACGCAAATGTTTCGACGATAAGGACGAACTTCTCCAAGGGTTCCTGATGTGCTTGGAGCAGAAAATGGATGGGTGAGTATAATAACAGTAACAAACAACAACAACAATACCTAGGTACAGATAAACGTAGGTACAATGCCTAGGTAGTGTAACGAAGTCTAACTGCTATTGAAACTGCTGATGCTAGCGGAATAGGGGAGGAAGGCACGTCCTGTCAGGGTACAGCATCGTTAAGGGAATCCTATTGGACGAGAGCGGGTCGTAGATGATTGATGGGGAGGGGTATAGTTTCTGGCCTCAAGATAGTCACGAGACCCTCCCCTCAGCGCCAGTTTTATGGGAGAAACCGAACAGTTTCTCAGAAATAGATAGGGAATAGCAGAAATATGGCGACTGACAGCTAGGATGGAAAAGGGGCTCGCACGGGAGAAGGAAATTCGGCGGAAGTCGTTCTAACAGCGTCATTTCACCCAATCCGGTCAGAGTACGTCCCTCCGTTGAGAAAAATTTCCGCAAAACACGACCCCCCCCCTCACTGGGCACCTCCAACGTGCTACTCCCGATGGCGTAACCTGCACCCCGTTGCGCAATTGGCTATGCCTGACTGCGCCCTTTCCCACTGAGATGACCATCACTTTGCAAACAGGGTTAAGCTAGGAGAACTGCACGGAAGAGCTCCACCGCGTGTTCTCCTACCCTCTCCTTTCACCACCTGTTGAGCTGTCGGCATCTAATCAGAGTATTAGTATGAATTATGTATTACAAGATGATCGTTTAAGTAGGTTGAAATCCGAAGTTCTGGACAGTTCTTATCCCATTGCCTGCCGTTGTTTATGGTTTACACTATTCTTAATTGGGAATAGCCTTTAATCAATGAGGTCACGTAGCCGTTAGTAAGACGACAGCGAGCTTGGCTGTGCGAACCCATGCAAAGACGCCCAAGTCGCGACGCGTCTGAGCGTGAGCGCTCCGCCCCGTCTCGGAACACTTGATGATAATGCTTCCTCAATGGCAGTTGGCACGATAAATTCCTAAAGACGAGTAGGTCAATATACCTGGCAGGACGGAATTCCGCGCCCCTGAGCAGCTGCGTAGCGCCCTTTCCAAGGAAGGTGCCCTCATAAGGCCCTATCAAGCTGCAACATACCGACCCGAACGCCCACCACGCCCGCCCGCCCACAAATGGACGACCGTTCCTGACGCTCGTATTGATTCATTTGCTAAGCAAATTATGAAGCGAAGATTGGTATGAAGCGGCCGCGGTGCTGCATGGATATATGAGTACACACATGCAGCCGTATCTTCGGTAGCGGTTATTGGCAAGATGCCTACGGGAAACTCGTCCGAAATCGATTTTCAAGTCTGAGAACGAAGGCTTTTTCTTCGCAGGATTTTGACCGTTTCACTCCGTTCTTTCGCCATTTTTTCCACTATATAGCGCCCTACTAGCATTTTAGGCCGAGTACCGAGTTATCGCGCGAACTGCCTTTAAACATTTTTTGTGCGTTTGTTTCGTGAATTTTGTCGTTTTAGTTGTGTCGCTGATAGAAACGGTCCACAAATTCAAAAAACAAACATCAACTCGTTGTTCGCAATCGGCGAGCATAAAATTGCCAACCATTCAGCAGCTGTGCAGGTGAGCTCTACTGAATTTACAAATTTGAAATCGGAAAAAATCGTCGCGCCATGCTATCTAAATTTATTTCGCTAACTGTGATTTCAAACGTGCATTCGCGGCGAAAGTAATTGGGAGAAGGGTCAGTCGGCAGCGAGACTAGGCCGGAATCTTGTGGTGACCTGTGAATTCTATGAAGCTATACAGTATCGCCAGTTTCCACTTACCACTTGAGAACAGTCTCATCGAGGTGAGACATGTAAGTCAATCTGAGCCGGTACATGAAATCAGCGAGCTGCACAGATTCCCTTCCCTCTCCGCTTCCTTCCTTCACTGTACAGCGCCTAGAGAGCTTTCGTGGGATCTGGGATAACTGCGGAATCACTGTGGCATATGATGCTTTTTTTGCTCAAAATGGAACTTTAATTTTACCTGTCTCAACAATTTCTCCCTTGGATATGACTGTTTCAGTCAATAATCGCCCCGATAAGGCATGTCGTAAATGCTGCTGGGGAATTCGCCAAATGCATCAAGGACTGTTTCCTACAGAAGAATGCCCACGGATTCTGCTTTGACAGGAAGAAGTAAGTTTTCGTTTGTTCGTTTTACAGACAACCAATTTT